TTATATATATATATATAAAATGGGATCCTTATGTCACATCAGCAGCTATGAAGTTCTGTCAAATAGGTCACTTTCAATTTTGGGGAAACCAAGACTGGAAATTTATCAATTGGAAAGAGTTAATTAAAAAACAAAACAGGTTCAAAGACCTCAACAGCATCTGTATTTTCTCTAAAGTGCTTACTTTCATGTTCCATTTCACACTCAATTAAAAAGATTGCAGAAGAAAAAAACCAGACATGGATCGTAAAATAAAAAGAATTCTCTTTAGCAATTCTCTTTAAGTTCCTTGAGTTAGTTGATATTCTTATCTAGTAAAGTGCCTGGTATGTTCTGCTTCTGTGAAAAAAGTCTACTCACTTCAACCATGTGAACATACATTCTTCTTTGCTCCAGCCTTTATGATGGGATGCTGGAGCTTCAGGTTTGATTGCTGGAATTCTAAAAACCATTTTTCTTACTATGCATGCCTGATATAAGATCACAAGTCAACAGTTTTCTTGAGCATCACTTTATTGTTATAGTATACTTACAACATTACTTTTCACTCTAGGCCTGTGAATGTGTTTCTTTCCAACTCTGTTCCTGTTGGACCTTTTCCTCCCTGTAGCCGAGCTATTTGGTGGTTGTTCTTTCCTTTCTGACTGTAATCAGGAAGAATATGATGTCACCAAAATTCTTGAGGGAAATTCAAATGTGTTATGTATCAGAATACAGGGAAATGAATTTCATATCTGACTATCTAAGTAAAAAAGTAATCTGATCATAAAATAGTGGTTTATGTGTGAGTTTGAAGACGCTGAAGGCAAAGAGATGAAAGATTTGTCAGCAGCAAAATGCTACTCATAGTCATAAAGCATTGGTTGCGCAAGCAGCATTTGGTGGCCCACAGTAGGGAATGAGTTTTAGTAATTCATTGGTGTGGAATGTTAGATAGTTTAACGCTAGCTGAGCAGAGGCTAATTTACGTTTCAAGTTACAATGGGGTACAAACAAAGGTTCCCATAGCAGTGACGTTTGAAGCTTTACTAGTTTTGTTAGTTCTCTTTGACCACAAATCAAATTTGCCTGTAGTATTTGTTTGATTATATTATATTGTTAGTCATGGGCAAACAATAGCAGATTTTATGACATTTTTCCAAATCTCCACAAAATGTATCAACAATAAGGACACTGCATGACTGGCAAAGCCATATATATCATCAAAATAGGACTGTAATTATATGTGTTTGTGTACTTCCTCCGAAGAAAACTAGGTGCATATGCATTCTGAGAAATTCCCTTAGCCAGCTAGTTTGTTTCAGCTTACTGTCTGTGCAAGTCCCTCAATGGACATATAAAGTTGCAAGTTTTCTCGATTTTTCTCCCGTTTGATTTAGGTATTTTATACCTCCATTAACACTATTTTAGATCATTTAGGAGGCTGGCTTCAACCCTGTCTGTTTACCTGTCAGGGCCAACCGGGGCTAAGAGAGATACAACGTCTGAGAATAAAGACTGAGGCACTTGATAAAAATTCTTTCGACGCGGGAATTGAACACTTGTCTTCTAAGTGCGGTGGCAAAGTACCTAACCGCTATGCCACAGTCTTCAGAACATTGCAAGTTTAATGGTGCATGATTTAATTTTTTTTTTTATTATACTGCAATCAGTCACACTTTCTTTCTCTTTTGTCTTATCCTTGTCTTTAGTCACGTTTCCCTTACACGGTACATGTAATTGTAAACTCACTGCTCGTGTTGTTACAGTGATGTCCTTAGTTGACAAACCATCCATCGTTATAACATACTCTATTTTTTTTTATGTATTGTTAGAGGTGTTTGAAGTTTTTCAATATTTCTGGCCAGCTGCAAGAAATTTTAAACATTTTTTTAGGAATTCTTATACATCTTTCGAATTGTTGCAATGCTTTTTCTTTTGGTATTTCCTTATTTAAAAAAATGTAATATGAATAGCATCCCCAATGTCTGTTTCGCTGTTCATTCAATTTAGCTCAAGCAAATGGCTGTGTCTGATGCTTGAAATACAATATTATTCATGCCAACAATTCAGTCTTTCAGTAGTTATGACCATAATAAAAGGTATTGAGTTAATAAGTGCTTACCTAATACTTGAAATTTTCAAGAGTCAGACATTTTTGCTACTGCAACTTCAATAATAATAAAATTTAAAAAAAAAGAGTTCTGGATTTTGCTTGTGGAACAGGCTCTAATTCTTTCATGACAAAGCACAAACTATAAACTTTTAATTTTTATAGCACTGACATTTGAAATACAAACCTTTGTGTTTATTGTCTTCAACATACCACACCAGGTACAGAAAGACTGACCTTTAAGAGACGAAAAAATTTGTGCGTTCACAGAACTGAAAAATTAACTGGTCTCTGGCTAGAATTAAACTACTCAAGTTTATAAAGAAAGTAAACTAGGAAATTGATGAAGTGATTTTTGTAGTATTAAATTTGTAGAATAGGATAGGGCATTTCCATTGTTTGTTCTAAAAGGCAATATAAGTTCTTATTATTGATTTCCCTTTTACCATTAATAAAGACATTTAGTTTTTGTAATGTTCTCAGGGGAAAATATATGGTTTTCTTTTGATCATTAATAAACACATTTTGTGTCTGAAATGTTTTTTTTAGGAAAAGATGAAACTGGAAAAAGAAGTCGGCAGAGCAGCTGAGAACGAGCATGAGGAAGACGGCTGTGAGAAGAATGGAAGTGATGGTGTGGATGTGGAGCAGCTGGAACAACTTCTTCAGGACGCAAAGGTCATGGCCAAAGAAAGCATCAATGATGTCTCCGTGAGTGTTTCAAATATAAAGTATTGTATTCATTGCTCATGTTTGGCGGGGGTAGGGTTTGTTAACATAACATCACAACTGAAAGAGCTGCTGAGCTGGCCTTTCATAGAAAACTGCATCTCCCCTCAACGCTTAACGGCAACAGAGGGTGAAAAAGTAAAATAGTAAAAGTAAGTAGGGGGAAGGGTGGATGGTGGGGGAGGGTTGGGGTGAGGATTAGTCGGAGGGTGCAACTGGTAAGACCTATTTTTTTCCTTTCCCTCTGTTGTTTCTTCCTGTCTGCCTTTCTTTTTTCCATGCACCAAATGTACTCAAAAAAAGAAAAAAAGAAATGGGGAATCGTAGTTTTATGGTATGCTAGAACTGAATGAATCATTTTGAAGATAGGTTGCTTGCTTCGAAGTGTCTTAATGATGTTTTTAGTTTTCTACCTCTATTTTGCCCATTTTAGCCTCTGAGAGAGATTCCTGTCCAATATCAAGTGATATGGGTTCCAGTAGAAATACAGCACAACAAAAAACATTTTTTCACTCATCTCTGATAACCCCTCTAGCCTGGTTATTGGTTTTACGTGCCTCAAATCTTTCATCCTTACTTGACTGCTCTTCTCGCTTTACCTTTCGGGTTCCCTGTTTTTCTTTTTGTGGGCTCCAAATCAGAGCTTTCAGATTTTTCCATGTTGGTAATCAGGCTTAGTTATTTCCTTCACCTTGGGTTTCCTTTTTCCAATCATGTGGAGTGCATACTATCCTGGTATATTGTACCCTTTTTGTTACAGAAGAAGCGTCCTCCGAGTGGCAAAAGACCATCATCAAAGTTGAAGAAGAGAACTGAAGAGGTATGGAAGAGTTACTCTTTTAAAATGCTGACTATTACTTTTTATGGAAGATATTATTGTCTTTTTTATTTTTGAGGTTCTTAAAAACACACCTTTGCCAAGATTTTACTATGCACGACTTTTATAGTATAGTTCATTAGTAAGTGAATAGCTGACGTCTTCCATGAATTTATCAAGGTTGTAATTTCAATATGAAATGTTAAGCTATTTATCGTAGATTTCTTTCTGAATTGTTTTTTTAACGCGATTCTGTGTTCATCTACCCTGAATGCAAATTCAGTGTGAAGTAGTGATGATGATCAGTATTGGAGCTCTGAGATTTCCTTCCAAAAAAAGAGAAGTTTTATCTTGAACAACTATAGTTAAGCTAAGCCATTGCATTCTGGAACTTTCAGAAGCTAGCGTTTCCATTTCACAAGAACGCAATCTTTTTTTGTAAAAAAAGTAAACTATTGTGTACAGATTTTGTTTTTGTTATTTTCAGACAGGGACTAAAGAGATGCAAAAGCCAGTACAGTGGACAGCAAATGCTAAGCCTGCAAGGTGACTCGGCTGTTTTCTTTGCTACTTTAGTTTTTAAAGATAAGATAAGATAAGATGGGATACATCTTTATTGTCCAGATCCTGGCACATTAGTTTGGTGTTTCGCCACGTACACACATACACAGGCACTAAAGCACGCACACACACACACACACACACACACACACAAACACACACATGCACACACACACACACACACACAC